ATTCTTTTTCATAGAGGTATCATAATTCCTTTTATGCATGTGCCATAATTTATTTAACTATTTGTCTATGGACTGGCATTTAGATGGCTTCCTTTTATTACTATTACAAATAATGCTGCAATATATATTCTCAAGCATCCATATTGCACAGAATTACATATACCTGAGAAGTATTTCTAGGTCAAAGAGAATATATTTTTAAGAAATAGTGCCAATCTCACTGCCAAAGACATGGTATCAATAATACTTTCTCCAACATTGTATAAAAGTGACTACTTCCCCTCATTTTCAACAATGCTGTTTATCATCAAATTCTTCTACCTTTACAAATTTTGAGACTAAAAATCATACTTATTTTATCTGCATTTATCATTTATGAGTTATATTTGGCATCACCTATGTTTTTTATCCATTTATATATTTTCTTCTACATATGGATTTTATTTTGTTGTAAGTAATGTAGTTATTTTTTTATTTCAGAATATCAACGAGGATACAAACGTTTTGGTTATGTAAATTGCTGTGTACCATTTGGTCAAAGTCATAAGTGTGCCCATCCCTCAGATAGTGTGCACTGTACCCATTAGATGTGAATTTACCCATCCCTGTTCCCCCTCCCACCTGCTCGATTTCCAATGAATGCTACTTCCATCTGTATACATAAGTGTTGATAGATTAGTTCCAAATTAATAGTGAGTACATGTGGTGTTTGTTTTTCCATTCTTGTGATACTTCACTTAGAAGAATGTCTCCAGCTCCACCCAGCTTAATACAAGAGGTATTAGTTCACTATTATTTTATGGCGGAGTAGTATTCCATGGTATACACATATCACATTTTTCTTTTTGGAGGAGGAAGTCGTTTTATTTTATTTTTCAATCGGAGATTTATTTTTTAATTTGAACTGGAAAAAGATTTTTTTATGTGAGACATGAGAAAAAGAGCAATACACTTGATGACTTCAACAATTACTATAGCATAAAGAAAAGACTAACAAATTTGAAAAAGTTTAACAACCTATTAGGAAGACATGGAAAGTACCGAAAGGTAAAATTCACAGAGAACAGTGTTGGATGATTGAACGAATAAAGGTCCAACAGTGCTTGCTAACCAGACTCAAAGTCACGTGCAAATCATATTACAAATAGATATGTCAAGGCATCACATCTGATCTGAATTGGAATCTCCAGGTATGAAATTCCAGCATTTGTATATTTAAAGATCTCCTTGCATGATTTTGCTTTGCTCTGGTATGTAGGGGTATGTGACTGTGTTTATGCTCAAAAGTGGTCTTTAAGACGTGGAAGCAGAAAAAGTGAGTCACAGTGCATGACCTCTAGGCCTGTTACACACTCAGAGCATGTCTTATAACAAATCACCTGACCTCTCAGAGCCTCAATTTCCTCCTTTGTTAAAGAACGATTAAGACACACACTTAACCTGGCTTACAGGGATAGAGAAAGGATCAAATGAGAGAAGAGATGTGAAAAGGCTTTGATGAATTCTTAAAATACAATACAAATTAAGCCTATTATTATCTCTGGTACAAATCCAGAGGAATAGAACCTTTCACTGAGAGAATAGGCATGAAATCCTCTTTTAGCTGCATTAACTATAAATGTGGCAGTATTTTTCATATATGCTTAATCAGAAAATTATTAAGCTTTTTTTTCAAATAGGAAAATCTTTCCTCCAGCAAAACAGATATAATGAAGTTATCACAATTAATGGGGAGTATATTTTTTCATAGCTGAACTTTTCCACACCAACTCTTCACAAAACAAGTGTATGTGTGTATGTGTGTGTGTTTTACTTAAAGGTGCGCTGCAGGTGATGGGGCCCAGAGAATTGAGCAAAAGCTCTGCACTATGTATCAACTTAATAATATATGATACGGAAATTGCTTTAAAAGGAAAAATGCTATGTTCAACATGTTGCTTCCGCCTTCATTCACTTATGAATTAAAGATTCCTGTGCTTTCGGTTCTATGTATCCTGAATGTTAATATTGTCTTCATTTGCTTCCTGCTATAACTGAAACTTGTTGGTTAATTATTCAGGAA